AAAGAAGAAAGAGGGGTAAGATAATTAGTGTAGCCATAAGCAACTGTAAAAGTACCAGGGAGTTACGAGTGTACTGAAAGGTAACGGGATTGTTTCGGGCACAACTTCAAGCAGGGTATGATACAAGATACTTATAGCTCATTGAAAGTCATTAAGAATGTTTAAATCAGGTACATCATGTTTGGACTTATTTATGACTTTGTTTTTCTTTTGTGCGGATTAGAAGTACTTTGAAATTCTAAAGATTTGTAAATGCTGTGGTTTGAAACATAGAAGTATTTATTACGAGAGATTTATGAATCCATAATAAAACATATTACTTATTCACTTCATTGCATTAGTTCTAATGTACCTAATGTGCCTAATTTCAATTACTTTATAAGATCGTTTGTTTCAAATATTGGTATCTAAACATATCTCTTAGTACAATGAATGTTACGTTTTAAAAGATGATTTCAACTTCTCTTTGAAACTTCGGAACTCAACTTTGTTCTTCATGATGTTACTTATTGTTGATAGGAAATCTCGTCAGTTAGCAGTACGTAACAGCGTAGACATGTAGTATCAGTCTAATATTCCAGGTTGCTGTTGTTGTTTACTATCATAAAAGTCGGTTGATATTTAATGGTATGTTTCCGATCAGTTACGGTTTAATAAGGACTCACCGTCAACTCTGATCTTTGTTTGTAATTATGCACAAAGCTACACAATGGGCTATCTGTGCTCTACCCACCACGGGTATCGAAACCCGGTTTCTAGCGTTGTAAGTCCGCAGACATACCGCTGTGCCACTGGGGGGCCTTAGCCACTGTCCTCGTTTGTCGTCATAAATCAAAGTGGTTGGATGAGTTTGCTCTTTCTTCCGCTAGGCTTCCTGTGCCTAATCAGGTATTTGATGGAAGTCATAGTTTGTTTATCGAACAGCCACACATGACTTCAGAATTCAGTGTAGAAGAGTAAAACAAACAATGTAAGTTATATTTCATACATAACAGACGTGAGAAATATTTCTGAAAAAAAGAAAATTCTTACTGGTTGAGTTTTCGCGGTTCTGTATTTTTATAACAAAACGATTCAAACAAACCTGGAAGGAGCGTGATCCCGTGGTTAACATACTCACAATTCTGTAGTTTAATATCAGAACGATTAAAACAAACCCGGACGGAGCGTGGTCCTGTGGTTAACATACTCACAATTCTGTAGTTTAATATCAGAACGATTAAAACAAACCCGGACGGAGCGTGGTCCTGTGGCTAACATACTCACAATTCTGTAGTTTAATATCAGAACGATTAAAACAAGCCCTGACGGAGCGTGGTCCTGTGGCTAACATACTCACAATTCTGTAGTTTAATATCAGAACGATTAAAATAAACCCGGACGGAGCGTGGTTCTATGGTTAACTTGTTCACGATTCTGTAGTTTAATATCAGAAC